CCGGGATTGGGCGGCATATAAACCCATTAAATTGCTAATTGCTAAAATTGCTCTGATACGGGCGTACTGGAGCCAGCCCGGAGCGCTGGATACCGTTCCGGTACGGTGCTCCGGACGGCGCACCCACCCACCCGAGCTCCTTACCTGTGTTTTAAAGCTTCTGCGCTGCCGCACATGCACATGGTGTGTACAGCCCCTGCGCAATGCTCCGGGGAGCAGCTGGAGCATCACAGAGGCGCTAAGACGCATGTGCGTGCTGCATGCATGAGGACGCCGCCGGCCCCATTCCAACCGTACCAGTTGGGACGGGATTTGAAACCCACCACTGCTCTGTGCATGCATGGAGGTGGCAAGTACGCTCACATTTGTGAACTGGTATCAAAGGTAAGTAAATTTCACCTCTGATTACTATCCACATAATGCTGATGGAAGAACAACTAAGACACAAGGATGCCCCAGATCTTTAGTTAGGTTAGTGGTCAAATTGTGGGCCAAACTTGAAAACTTTCCTGCTTCTGTCCCGGTAACCAAATATCTTTTGCAAGCAAGCTTGATCAAGAAAACGCAGAGCGATTAAGGATGGTGTCCAACTTACCCTGTCGCCAATAAGACCGATTGGTCCAACGTCTCCGCTTAATCCTCGGGGACCCTGAAAATGAGGATCAATTCAAGGCAAAGCATGGCTGATGTATTAATTTACGAGATTTTGACGCTGCTTTTATTACTTCAAAAGCAATACATATTTTTTTTAAATACAAAAATCCAGCTAGTTCTACCTGCAATCCAATGTTACCAGGAGGCCCTGCTGGGCCTGGCAATCCTCGCGAACCCTGAGAAAAATAATAGTAAAAAGAGTTTAAGACGAGAGTCGGTCAAGAGTCCTCCAAAAAGAAGCTCCCTTCAGAAGCTGTGGGTGCCCCATCACTGGAGGCTTTCTAGAAGATCCTGGACAGCCTCTTGTCAGAAATGGTACAAGGTCTCTGGCTTGAGCCGGGGGTTGGTCTAGATCAGGGATCACCAACCTTTCGGACCACAGGGACCATTACATTCATAATTTTAAATCCCGCGAACCACTAATATGTTCTGCCTAATGACTAGTTGGGTGGGCGTGGCCAGCTTGATGTCACTCACGTTGAGGGGCACCTCGCCAGCCTCTACTTGCTCCTCCCCTCCCAGCCACTCCTCGCCTGCCCACCCAGGCTCCTTAAGGTCCCAACAGGAAGCAGTTGCTGGAGGTAAGCAGCCAGCACAAGGAAGAGTTGACAAAACAGCTCAGTTCAAATTGGATCTGACCGAGAAGGAGGCACAGCAGAAGCACCTCACTGAGGACTACGAGCATGGGCTTTCCAAGCAGAGGGAAGACCTGCGGGAGTACAAGGCCAGGTGCCGGCACCTGG